TTTCAAGTGCTATAATTTCTGACTCAGTGGACGGATATGGCTCAAATTTCGTATGTATGCCTTGAAAGGATGGTACTTTCCAGAAACATAATGGATTTAGTTATGGTAGCGCCCTTTCTTAGAAACGATACGAACTTTTCAGCCCGCCTGTTAAATAGCATGAATTACAACAACGAATCTATATGAAAAATGTCATGTTGATATATACACATATTTAATATACCATTTTTATTCTAACAAAAAGTAAATAAAATTCTCAGCAGTTTAAATCAAGTTTTGGCTTCTTTTTTTTTGAAATGCATTGTATGCAACAAAATTAATCTATCTATGAAAAAATAAAAGTTGTGATTTTCTCTTCACATTGTTCGTCTTTCATTGTAATTATCGCAAAATGTAAGTTTATATGAGCGTAATGTTTGACGACATACACTGTGTGTAACCATAATTGAAATTATAGATCGGTAAGGAAACACAGGCAAGTACAATTACGGCATATATAGCGAAAATACAATTCAATGAAATAATTGCCGGGTAAGATAAGAGTCATAAAATAAGATAAGAGTCAAATGTGAGTTTAAAATTAAAAGGTGCATGTAAACGATCATCAAGATAAAGTAGATTTGCGTTTTGGCATTACAATTTGAATTTTTTTACCCAAAATATTAGTTTTCGTTCCATTTTGTAAATGTTTTGGGAAATAATTTTTTCGATTTGTTCAACTTAAATTCGTTTATTTTGAAATCACATACAACACTACTATCAACACATGAGACCCGAACTCAAATGAGTGTGAGCAGTGATAATTAGTGTGCAACCACTTGTTGTGCTTGTCACATTGTTGATATCTTAACAGCTTTCGTTGCACGCATTTGCACTACCGATTCACTCTCTCTGTGTCTCTTTCTCTTTCTTTCCTTCTCTCTTCGGATCCTTTTCGTAGAACGTGAAATTGCGTATATAGAAGTCATTTTCAGTCCACATTGATTGAAATTAATTCATGAGACGCTTCTGGTGCATTTGCTCGTATTGATTTTTTGTTAAATCAAGGGTAAGTTACAGAATGTGACTGAATTCTGAGAATTTGACGCCTCCATTGGATGTTACATGGCTTCATTGGACCACGGTACATGCGTTTCAGTGTGCCTTTACGCTATATACATTGGTAGACGTGTTGCAAAAGTCTTTTAGAATAATATATTGAAGTAAATATTTTGTAACAGGTCGATCAAAGTGTATGCGAAGAGAAGAAAAAAAACTGAAAAATAAAATAAAAGAGACCTATGAATAGCAACAACAGTAACAAAACAACCTCGGAACCAAAACATATCGGATTACATCGATGGCTGCACTTTTTCGATGTCTGGGCCAGAGTGTTACTGTGTGTAATTATTGCAAAATATGCATCTCTTCCACTGTTTGATGTTGTCATGTTCATTGAACGCATATTTGACGAAAAATTTACCATTTCGCGCCATTCGACAGCAAACGCTAATCTTATATTGAAGTGGACAATATAAAAAAAGAGTCCTGAAATAAAATGCGATTTAATCGATCGGTCACCATCTCACCGGTCACCATCTCACCGGTCAACCAATTATTTATTTAATTTGAATTTCTTGATAATTTGATCGCTCGTGCAAAATTCGCGCTGAGATGATCAGAAAATAAAAAATCGGAGCCACTCATCAACTCATCACATTTTAACATCGTTTTGATGATGATCAGCACGCAACATTCCTGGAATATTATTCATTGTGTTTGCAATCATATCATGTGTGTATGGGAGTGTGTGTGTCTGTGTGTCGTTTCTCATTATCATATTGTATCTTTTGTTTTGACTGCTACTTGCTTTACGTATTTTCAACACAACGATTTGACACATTGCAATCAACGAGACTAAAATTCGAATGAATTCCGATTTCATGATATATATATATATATATAGTTTTTTTTGGGTGATGCAACGGATTTTCGTTATTGTTGCTATTCATCCAGCTCATGGGTCCCTTTTTATTCTATGCTTTGTTCGTTTCTTTTATCATTCGATTCACATTTTGCAAATTGATTTGCTTGGACATCATGCAAATGATGAACACGGTGCCGTTGTACATTTCGGTTATTCGATATATTTTAATTCCCCGGAATCAAAGATGTTTCACGTCAAAAACTCAGTCAAGCTCAATAATAAGTTAATAAAAATACTGCTGCTGTTGCTGTTGCTGTTGCTGATGAGTGGATGGCTGGACAAACGATTCCACTGAATATATTTTTTATCGGGTGTTTTTGTATTTGCATTTGTGTGCCTGTCCATGTGCATATTTTTTTCTCTTCTGTTGCAAAACGTGTTGCAGTTCCTTCATTACCTGTTTTGGCTTGATTCTTTTGTTTTATTTTTTTTTTTAACTTTTTAAATCATTCTTTTCATGATGCATTTGTATTAGCTGTTGTAATCCGCTTGCCATGTACATGGAATTTTGCGATCAAACAAAATATAAATGATCATCGAACACACATTTCCGAACTGAATTCAACAATGTGCATAAATCATTTTGCTTTCGATCAAATGATTGAAATCGAACTTGTGAAACAATCACTTCCACCGCACTCAGAAAAAGGTTGACACTTCTTTGGAATGGGACAGTTAGAAAGACATACAGATACAGAGACATAGAGAGAGAGAGAGGGAGAAAGAAAAGATCATATTTGTATTACGTTTGCATGGATGAAACGAAGCTGCCTTGATCATGAATATTCTCACTCGGACATTCAATGTCATTTATCGTTTCTGGCTGCATCTAATTCATTGTTTTTTATCCGAATTATGCTGACTGAGTGGAAGAAATAAACCATATCGGTTTATTGTCTTCTCATTCAATTGCTAAATGCATCAATTACAAAATCACAGCGGATGGCAGTTCACACGAGTGACGAAACCATTCTAGAGATCAATATCTTTTACACAATGTGTAATCAATATCTTTTACAGCTGACATGAATAACTTATTCAGAATAAGCCTGCTAATTTCAATTTTGTGACAACAAAAATTTGGATTTTAGACGAAATACCAAAATAGATTTTTCACGTGCACACTGTGAAGAACTGCAGCACTATAACTTACATTTTATGAAAGCTTTTGTAGTGTTTAAAGCAGACATTAGGTTTGAGCTATGGATATAGCTGCAACGCGTGTATTGTGTACTGTGTGTTCGTTTCCCCTCACGTTTAGTAGTATGGTAGTAGTAGAGGAAACAAACGACATACACGTCCACACAGTACACAGTACACGCGTTGCATAGCGCCTATGGAATAGGTGCAAAAGGATTCGTTGTGAATACCGCCCGATTAAAATCGAAATGTTTTCCTGCCGTAATTCCTCTGCCATAAGCATTTTGAACAATCTTCATGTGTTTATAATTTTGTATGTCATTATCACGAGTGTTTAGTGGCAAAGTGTTCACCACCTCAACGATTGGAACCATTTCTGCTTGGATCATTCGATTTCTTACGTCTACAAATCGATTTTGAATGTTTTCGTATGGTCTGGGTGGGAATAGTCGCTTTAATTTGCCATGATCATAAAATTCGAACAAACCAGGATATAAATGTCTATTTGCCATGTTATTAACTCAAATAATTTTTTTTATTCAAATTTTTAATTTTTTTTATTTTTCAATAAGTTTCGATTTCGTGTATCAATTTTGAAAAAACTTTTTGACGGAAAAAAAAATTTCAAATAAAGTGTACAGTCTACTGTGATTTTAATTCGTAATTTATGTGCATTGTGAATATTTCAAGAGAGAGAAAAAAATATTTTTTGTTTTTCTTTAGCGACATTTTTCATAGTGAACTTGAATGTTTTTTATTTTGTGAATTTGCGAGCAATCTATGAATCATTTAGCGTACATTTGAGCGTTGACGTTTATTTTCGAGCATAACATCTGTTCTCGGGACACGAAACAAATATTTATTAACTTTTCTTTTATATTTTCTTCAAAGGCATATATTACTAGGCCTACCTAGAACCCTACCTAAATTGAAAATATTTTAATGCCGTTGATTCATGTGATTTCTGATTGTTGTAGAAATGTATCATTAAAGCAATGCGATATCGATTAGAAATAGTTTTCAAAACACAAAGTCCAATCTCCAATTGAAAATGCAATACCAAACAAAATCAAATAGAAAAATTCATTTCCATCTTGTAACTCTTTCCGGCTTTACTGCATTCAAGTTAAGCCACTTTTCGTATGGCCAACGAAGTCAACACAAGAAATTACAAAAATTAATTCGTCTCGACCAACGAGCGATCGAACTAGTAAAGTAATTGTATGCCTTGAATCACTCTGCCAAAAAAATAAAATAAAAATAAGACCGGGTTTCCTCGAAAAAATCATAATCAGGAATTTTAATGATTTTTAAATTTAAATTTTAATATTATTCGAACTTGAACATAAAAAGTGTCATATAGTTATCAATCATACAATCACAATTATTGTTCGAACTTCTTGTCAGAGTATCATGATTTGCTGCTGCTCAGCATATAGCTGAGAGCTGGGAAATGCTGAACTCGTGCGGCTAAAGCATACGAAACGGATGACACGCACACATGCATTCTCCCCGTTTAAACGGTTATAAACAGTTGATTGGATGTTCAATTCAAAACTCAAAACTTAGTAACCAGTTGAGTTTGAAATTGTGTTGCGACCGACATATGAGAAGCTACGAGAAAAACATCACGTCGCATCCCTCGTTATTTTGCTTACGTAAGTGAAAGCAAGAGATGAGATGCGACGTGCTGTTTTTGCTCTCAGTCTTTCATATATTCTGAAACTGTAACTGTCTAACGCATACGAAACGGATGCACGATACATATTTCCCTTTCACTTCGTATGTTCGCTGGTATAGTGTGTAACCGTTGTTGGTAGAATTTGGTACATTAATATCAAGCCAAATGGTGTGATGAAAGTGTATAGCGATGAAACACCTGGCAATGATAGCGTTGTTTCCAAATTGTAATAGGTTTTCGTAGTGATGAAAGACATTATATAAAATAGGGTAACTGAAACGCCATTGCCGACACCACGTATCCTAACAAAATTTTACAAAAAACGTAGAACAAATGACTTTACATCAAAAGTATTAAGGAAAAACTCACTTAAATTTTAAAAGCTCGGACAAGAGCATCCATGGTAATGTTTGTATACAGCAGGATCCACAGAAAGACCATATGACTAAGCAAACCAAAGGAATGTATCCAAGAGTGCTGTTTTCCAAATGAAATGGTTCACGATGTGCTTGATCGAAGGAAATATGTCCCACACCAGGTAAATAGGTTAATCCGAACCAAGTGAGAATAATACTGCAAGCTAATGCAACTGCCATACAAAATTAATATAGTGGCCGTTTTCCTGTGCAACGAACCAAAAATATAAAGAGTAAACTTCCAACATTGTCAAGAAAACCAATCATTGTTATTGCTTTATCTGTCGGAATGGGGCTGTCGTAGGCTTTTAAAATTTGCACCATATACGGTTTCAATGTGAGTATGCATAAAGAGCAAAGAAGAATAGAACGGTTATGATAAACATTGGTTTCAGTGCTGACTTTCGTTTTAGATCGGAGAATTTTTCGCCCAGAGTTGGTAAAGGATGTTTGCATTCTAAATCTTGTTTCATTCAATCGTTACATGATTTTGATCGTTCACTATGCCGCTTCAATTCGTTGAATTCCTGAGCAATAGTCTCACTTGACACCCACCCTCTCAGCCACTGAAGCGATTTTTCAGCTTCAGCAATTCGATTCTTTGCGAGGTACCATGATTCAGGAACCTATAATTGATATTTTGTTTGATCAATCTTTTTTCGAATGTTTATCATTCTTCTTACAACTTACAAAGCAAATAGAAATCCCGGAAATTATAGGCACCATCCAACAAAAAAGGCAAACTGTTCGCCATGCCACCAGTGTATTCAATAAATAAATGATGAGCATTCCAAGTGAATAACACCAAAATGTGTAACCTAACCAAAAATTGCGTTTTATTAAAATTTGAATATTTTTACTAAAAATTGTATTTCGTAAAATATACCAACCGACCATCACCCCTCGGAATAAAGGTTCACTGAAAAATATAACTTTTTTTTTGTTATTTGATCAGAAAAATCATATTTAGTAGGATAGAATTAATGAATTCTTACCAAATTTGACCTAAATACGCTACGATTGGCGCCTCCGACAGACCAACGCTCAGCCCCAGAATCGAGATCCCAACAAATACTTGCCAAACAGTACTAGCTTGATACAGTGTGTACCATCCAATTGCATAAAAAATATTCAGAAAAATCATCGCCCGTTTCCGACCCCATGGATCTGTATCATTATGAAATTTATAAATGTATTTGGTTTTAAATTCAGCAAATGTCAACTATTACCCGTAATTATTCCTGATATTAAACTCCCAATTGGTTTGAAAATAGATCCAATGGCTCCTATTGAAAATCAAAATAATTCGCCCATTTCCATCAAAAATCAATCTTAGACTAAAACAACTCAAAAGAAATGAAAAGAGTATACTCACCAAACCAAGATGCTTGAACGGATGTAATCATTATGAACTCATTTCTGTTATGTTCATTGGAAATTCCAGTGAGTGCTGGAATTATAATAGCTGGAATCACCAAAACAAATCCATTATTCAATGAAAGCAAGTTCTTCGCAGTTGTCGCCACGAACTCAAATAAAAAGAAAAGTTAAAAAAAAAAAAATTATTAAATACCAAAATCTGTGAAAATATATCAAAATTACTGGTTGCGTCTTCTTACACTGTAAAACCGATGGGATTAAAAATTAATTAATATTTTCGGATTTTCTATAAATAAAAATCCAAATGGATTTAAAAAAATCCAAAAGGAATAAAATTAAAATCAGAATTATCAAATCTAAACTATCACAAAAATCATGCGCATTGTCCAGCGAGCGCCAAAAACATCATCTTACACTCTTCTCTGTTCTCTCACTAAATTTTTTTTGAATGATTGAAATTTTTACGATTTTTCAAATTCCGAAAAATCCTAACAAATTCGAATAATTTTGAAATCACAGGGGGGGGGGTAAACCTTTCCCCTCCCCTCACTGTTTTAAAGCATAAATGATATTACCGTCCTTTTTCTTGATATTGTATAAAAGGTCAGAAACATCACTGCAGTTTTTTCACTTGCTAATTGAATTAGCTTTTGGATGTCCTTATCGGCGCCTGCATTATTAATAATCTTCACAACTTTCGGATGACCTGAAAGAGAAGATCCTGTCAAAATTATACAAATATGTTCATGTTATTAATCTGAATTTCGTTACATTTTTCCACAGCCAATTGAATAGGTGTTTTTGATTCATCATTGATTGCATTCACTTCGGCACAAGAATTTATTAGAGTTTCTACTATTTTTGAATTACCTAAAGATCATAGAGAGAATGCATTCCTATTACTTCAAGATTAATGTTGTATATAATAAAAAATTTCAATCATAGACATCTGTAGTAGCGACATTCGATATACCATACGTGGGTATAATGGCACCCACAGTAGTGGGTGAAAATCCAAGATGGCGGCTTGTTAGCACGCCTGAACTATCAAAATTATACATAATGAATTCCTGTGAATTTTGTGAATTTTTCACCGAATTAAGCCCCTAGAGAGCATGGAATCAATATCTAGCGACACAGCACTTGCGCTCTGTTGTTTGCGTACACTAGAGTGTATATTAAACCAAAACGTGTGAAGCAACAGAGCGACAGTGCTGTGCTGAGTATGGCGTATATATGCTCACCATTTGAAGCTGCATAATGTTACGGCGTCCACTCTTTTTCTTTCCATAATTTCTTCCATTCTTTTTTCTTATCGATGTTTTTTGTTAAAGTTTTAACAATATCTTCGAATCCTGCAGAAAGAATTAACTGTGAACAAAGTTATTTCCCAAAAAATAGAAATCGGTTTCACCTTGTTTAGCGGCCACATCAAATAAGTAATTTTTGTGTCCCGAATATGTGTGTGAATTACCCGCAACAATTTTTTCCAATAGCACTTCGGCGATTCTCAATTTATCTATTTAGACGTCGAAAAATTACAATATTTGAGAACACCTTGCATTTAAGAAAATTCGGAAGTTTCTTACTATTTGAGACGGCCGTACGCAACAGAGAAGTGACCTATTTGTATTTAAAAATGTAATGAGAAGCTTCCATTATGATTACAATTTCAAACATAAATTCAAGTAAACAGTTGAATACCGTTCAAAACAGCTAGATCAAGGGGTCTACTATTGTAACTATCTTTTAAATTTATCTCAATGGTGGCTCTTTCGATCAAGTCATTGACAATATATTCTCGGCCTTTCTCAGCAGCCAAATGCAGAGCAGTTTTACCATTCTTATCCACATAGTTTATCTGGCTAATATCCTTTTCAAGCGCAAATTTGAAAAAATCCAGATTACCTTTATGAAAACAATATTTATTCAATCTTTAGATAAATATGTGAGTTTATAAAATAATAACCATATTCCGCGGCTATATGTAAAGGTTTTTGCTCATTCATGTCACTTTCATTAATATCAATATGATGATCAGTTAGAATTTGTGCAATTTCCCTAGAAGCTGAGAAAGTATGCAATGATTTTTTTGTTCAGATCCGAAGAGATACTATAGTAGAATTTATTGGAAATAACCGTTTTCTGCAGCTAAATGTAAAGTCGTTCTACTGTTTATGTCAACATTTTCTTCAAGATCTGTTTTATTGACCAACATCTCGACGAGTTTTGTGTCATCTGATGGTTTTTTGATGCACATAAAAAAAGTTTATAATTTAATATGTCTTGTTCATTGAATCAAATAATAATCCTACCATTTAATATAGCAAATGAAAGTGGTGTTGATTCAAATATATCTTTCTGGTTAAGATTTACGCGATTTTTAATTAAAATGTTCATAATTTCTGCATTACCTATAATAAAATCAAAATTCGTTAAGTCTTATATCAGCCTCATAATGTTACTAAATGTAATATAGGTAAATGATCTGATTTCTTTTCAACAAACTATTTGTAAGTGGCGTACCTACGGTAGACATGTTTGCTCATGTTTACACTGGTGGTCAGTGTGTGCCACTTTCAAATGCAAAATGTTTGTTTAAAATATAACATTTGATCGGTTAAAATTCACGCATATATAATTTCCAGACATCGATCAAATGTTTGGAAAGCTTCAAATATGCTCATTTTTATATATTTTTAAGAAGTCTTTTATAGGAAGACATAAGCAATGCTTAGTAACCATACTATCAGGGTTATAGCAAAGATACTTTAAAATAGAATTGTTCATATATAATCACCTCCTTGTGCAGTAAAATGTGCAGGATTAAAATCATCATTATTTGTCTGATTTATGTTGGCTTCGTTTTCGAGTAGATATATGACAACTTCATTATGACCTAGTGAATGTTTTTTTAATTATGAAAATAAAACTGAATATTTTGTTATTCTATTTCAAATACTATACCACCACGAACAGCTAAATGCAACGGCGAATTTCCGAAACTATTTCTTGCATTAACATCTAAACCTTTTTCTGTGATTAACCACTTTACCATTTTAAGGTTGCCTTCAAATTCGAATTTCAAATTAGTTAAATTTAACCAAAATTTTAATTATTTTATAACGCTGTTATTTACCAAATCGTGCAGCAGAATGCAGAAGCGTCCATTCATATTTATCTGTTGTGTTAGTGAAAGCACCATTTTCAATCAACCAATTCAATCAACCAACAGTATTATTGTCACCTATTAAAATGTATAGCTCTAATGAAATCTACTGAACAAGAAATTCTTTTAAAGAAATACTTGTAAAATAAAGTAACCTTCTTCGATAGCTAGCTGAAGCAAGGATTTCCCATCCATTACGTCATGGTCCGTATAACTAATGTTAACACGACTTTCGTTAACAAATAACCCGAGAATTTCCTTTCGTCCTGGTTTCGATGCTACAACGAATTACAACGAATATCAGCAAGCATTCACAGTTGCGTACATCAATACAGTACATCAATTGATGCTTGCATCATTTGATGCGCATCGCTAGTGCTGTCGTTGTGCGTTGTGATACCACAAGCGATGCGCATCAAATGATGCAAGCATCATTCGACGTTTTGTATTTATGTATCTCCTTGTGAATGCTTGAATATCAGTTAAGCCATACCTAATTTTTGAATCGAATTTCATTTCAAAATTACCATAAAGTGCTGCAATCTGAATTGGATTCAATCCTTCATCGTTTAATGCGGTAAGATTGGCATTTTTATATACTAACTTTTTGATAAGATTTTTATTGCCTGAAAACGGGTAGTATTAATTAACGAGGGAAGCAAAATGTTCTTATTTTTATTTTATGCCGCTAAAAATTCCATAATTTGTGTTTTAGTTAGTTTTTCAACGTAATCATTTTACTTCAGAACTTCTTCAAAAACTATAGATAGAGGTTTGAAATTCAAACTTTGAATACCAGTTGCCGCTGCCCTTATAACACAGCGTTAAACACACCATTTATACCTTGTACAGTTGTAATGTGAAGTGGTGACATCTGATCATCATCCTTTACGTTGATATCCTTCATTTTATCAATGAGCAAAACGGCAATCTCTTCAAGTTCTTTTTAGAGAAATATTTAATGGTATTAGAAAAAACGCATGATGATAAATAACTCTGTGGAATACCTTTGTTAATGGCATAGTGAAGTGCCGTTGAATTATTGTTATCACATAAAGTAAGATCAGCACCTTCTTCGATGAGAAGTTTAGACATGTTTGTCTTACCTAGGATAAAAAAATCCGGAATCTGGGTTAAAAGGAATCTAGCTCAAAAATCGTTTCATTCTTAAATGAACATTGAAATTATTTAATAATATTGAGAAAAAGTTCAACATAAAAGTAAAAGAATCCACAAATTTACTTTTATAAAACCAATCTAAAGGTTACCGTATTGAATAGCCAAGTGAAGAGGTGTTTCACCATTAAAAGTTTGTGCATTTATATCACAGCCATTTTGGCGCAAAAAAAGTTTAGTTTGATTTATGCGATCTGCAAAAGATTCGGAAGAAAATGTGATTTTGCATGTATATTTTCTTCAAATGTATGATAAATATACCGTTAACAGCAGCTCAATGAAGTGGCGTCGATCCACCTTCATCAGTCACATTAAATTTAGCACCCTTAAGGGGTTTATAAAGTCAAATAAATGTGTAACTCTTGTTGTTTCTTTACTATATAAATAAACGATAAGACTTTAATCTAGTCTTTCATTTATGAGATAGCTTTGAAAAAAGTTTCCAGATTCTTGATATATCCAAAAAATATCATGTTTAAATTATGGCTATGATTTTTAATGACTTTTATCGAACGTCACGAATAATGATAAAAAAAAACAATCAAATCGCAAATATGGTTCAACGTAAACAGGTAACAGAAAAAACTGAATAAGTCAGCATAAGTACTGAATAACAATCTGCAAACCATATACGTTTATCTGAATTTCTACAGTTAAACTGAAGTAAATAAAGTTTATTAATTTCCAATTAAGCCTATAATTACAAATTTTATGTACCAACTATTTTCTTCGAGCTTTTATATTTTAAAATTTGGTTTCGTCACAGGCAGTCTATGTATTTCGGATGGATATCCATCCGAGATATTTTAGAATATCTGGATATTCAACGCAACTTCACAGCGCCAGAGCTGTGTGCGTCGCAAATAGAATCTACGGTATTTCGCGACGTATATGTGTATCAAGTGGCGCACGTACACAGTCACACTGTGTCTGTATTTTACATGTAGCGACATACCGTAGATTATATGTGCGACGCACACAGCTCTGGCTCTGTGCAGTTGCGTTAAATATCCAGATATTTTAAAATATCTCGGATGGATATCCATCCGAAATACATAGACTGGTCAAAGGTCACACCTTCATCACCTCAACAGAGTTTTTTTTATTTGATACCAAAGACTTGACAAATTTTTTTTTGCTTCAACTCTCGCAACAACAGACAGTTAAAAACGCCAAAGTGCACATTGAATATTTTCCCATCGTTCCTTTCGATTCGGTCAACAGTAACGGATACATAAATGGAAATTTATCCATGTGTATAGCAGCACTGCTGCAGGCGCACGAGGAAAGACAATGAGAGGAGTCTTGTTGAATTTAATAATACGAGTGTCGATATATTAAAACTGAAGTTGCAAACACATACATCGTACATCGATTGTGAACAATGAAATGTTTGCTCAGAAACCAGAATTAATTATAGGCTGCATTTCGAAAGCGTAGTCACGAAAAAAAAGAAGAACGATCCGTGAAAATGTGGTATTTTGTATAAAAGTGAACAATAGATACAGTGGTTAGAAGATTAAAACCCAAACCAATGAGAAATGTCAAGCACAATGAACACCAAATAATGCGTTGAATATCCATGTCGAAACATCAATTGACTATGAAAGTCATTTATTCACAATGAAATTACCACTGTCCGCACGATCGTCATCATCTTCATCGTCGCTTTGGTCCATTTCATTCAAATATAAATTCAATTATCTAATTATAAAGTGCTGCCGCTGCTGAAAAAATTGCGTGATTGACAGTGGTGGCCGCCTCTCATGCGATCAATATTTTAGCTTCATTCGGGAAATTTGCCATCAGCTTTCATGTCATCCAAGAACCAAATTTACATAAATCAAGCGATGCAAAAAAAAAAAGTTTCAGTTGTTGTTTTTTTTTTTTCAAGCGCTACAAATCAATGACACGAGAAGAAAAAGCAATGTGTGGTGAACGATTTTAAATCAGGTATTTAAGAGAAGAGTTTAAATCAAATGATTTAATCAGTTAATTTGTTAAGAGTTTAACAAGGTGTAAGCTAAAATTGGATTGCAGGTTTAAAAGAGACAAAGAGGAGTGGAGAGATAAAAAAGTACATGTAGCAAGTAAAAATGTGGATGAAAATGCGATAAGATCGATTACAATCGACACCAATTTAATTACGATTAAATTTAAAAAAAAGGCCCATTCAAATGAACGTACGTGTGTTGATGCCTTGCTTAATTGACACTCAATGATTGTTCATTTATTTGGTGGCCGTTGCCGGTTGTTTATCGAAATAAATCATTGGCTCATTAATCGTCATCGTTTGAAAAATCGACAGATCGTTTTCAGCTTCAATCGAATCTCTTAAAATCGATTGCCATATCGATCGGTTTTCAAACGAAAACACACACTAAATAAAACAAAAAGCGAAACGCACCAATATAAAAGACAATTGAACACCATTCATCAGTTCATTTTAATGTGCATTTTCTATTGTTTTGATACCTAGTGCAGCCGTATCCAAATAATAGAGTGTAAAGGTGTAGTCTTTTGTGTTAAATTCCGAAACAAAAAAAAAGAGAAGACGAAATGCCAAGAGAAAAAAAAGTAGAAAATGCTTAGTGTTATGGTTCAGAAGAAAAGAACGAGAAACACAAGTCAAATGTGATAAGTATTCCATGATTCACAGCTGAACATTTGATTATCACATTCGGTGATACATACCTATTTGCTTGCAATACATTTATCCGGTGCGATCGTGTTAGCAACGAGAGAAGAAAAAAAAAATGTGAAATCGGTGCCCATGTCTTTTTAACATGACTGAGCATTTTGTTTGTGCGCATCTGAGTACTCGAGAGAAAAAAAAACCTTCCGAAAACCAAACCATACAGCAACGACCTTAGGATATGTTGCATGATATTGATTTTATTTTCCATAAAAAAATGGATACAAACCTACCAGAACAACAGACTTTTCTCTTTTTATTTGGATTTGTAACATTTTGTATTTCATCATTTTATTTTGGCTTCCAGACACATAAAAGGTTTGAGAAAAAACAGTTTTTTATGATGTTATTTTTGGTTGTCTTTGGTATCCATCCTTCGCACAAATTTAACACGATTTTTTTGCTGACTTCGACCGATTTTTGCAATCTAATATGGGTCATTCGAACCATTTTAATTTCAGCAAACTATAAAATGTTGTACATCACATCCAAAATTAACAAACGCACAGGAAGTCTCAACAAAATTTGAAAGCGATTTCTTCATCGTCATTTTGAGAACAGTAGATTTTTGTTGTTTTTTTTTAAGTACAAAAGAACAGATTTGTTTTTTTTAGAAGAGATTAATGCATGCAGTAGCCTAATTTCGATTAAAACCCAAATTCCATTCTGTTAATTTGAATATTTCCATAGCTATTTACTTATCTAAATCGATCGACCGTTATCACAAAAATCTTGATTGGTCATACTTACCATACCGGCTAATTATGATGGTATTTCTGTATTATTAGCCAATATCTCAAACAAATCAAAAATACATCACAAGCCAAATATGAAAAGTCATATTTGAAATAGTTTATGAATATGTAAAAATGAGAGCAATTCAAATAAAATGAAAGAATGAATCATTGTTATTGAAAGTCATTCCCTTGATTTGACACGTTCCAATTACTTCACTGTCATTGTTTCACTGGCCGCTCTGTGCAAATTAGTTTAAACAGAAGTAAAAAAGAAAATTAGACTATTATTACATGAAAAAAAAAAATGAAAGAAATTTCGAAATTTTATAGCCAAGAATTCGATTGTTTGATTATAGATTCGAATATGTTCTCTGAAATTATTACTATAAAACATTTATCTTTTATAAAAGTTCCTATCATTGACCTGTGGCACTTAAAAAGGTTAACCAAATAACATTTATTTCATTATTTTAAATGTTTAATATCAATTTGGGGTTCAATTCCAATAAAGGTAATTGTCGGTAAATGTTTAAAGTGAATCAATTACTTTATTCATTTTTAATGATTTCTATAAGTCATTTATCCATCTGTCGGTTTCAAACAACCGATTACATCAAACGTATTTATTTTGTCCGAGACCCTCTTCAAATAATCGCCACCTATTTGACCATTATTACATATTTAACAATGCCTATTAATAATGGAGAAAAAAAGAAGATATTTTTAATTTCGTTTGATTTTCGTATCAAATGATGGGTTTCATGGTGATTTTTATTTGAAATTAAATATATTCAAGACCATTCAAACATTCTTCTCAAGTAAATTGTTGACTTACTTGAAATCGCGTGGTCGTTCCTTCCACCCAGCTGATTAAATATATTATAGTTATAAGTTGATCATTTAACCAATTCAATTTCATTTTGGTTAACTTGTTGTCGATGTCGCTTTGTTTTCGTTTCCATCAAACATTTGACCACATTGAATATTTTATAACGTAATCCTTTTATTATTTCAAACGCAATCTTAATCATTTTCAACCAATAAATAATACGGCCAAATGTCGATTGCATACGATATTGGGCCGATCAAGTTTTAATGAAAATGTGTGCGATGGTCTTTAAAAAAACTATTGGATAGTTAGCTCAATTGTTATTTAAAGTAGTTTTCAAAGGAAATTTAATGGTTTGCATTCTTATTGCCAACAATTTTCCAATTACAGTCAAATATCAAATTACGTCCAAATATGCTAAATGTTTGTAGATATCCTCAGTTTATTTAATCGAAACTAATGTTGGCGCCAACTTGTTTTAATTCACACTCGTTCATCATCTCTCTGCTATTTTTAACCAGCAAATCATGTTGTTTGTGTTACAAGAATCATTCACACACTATTTTAACCTTGCAAAGAGTGGTTTTTCTAATTCTGATATGAAAATAGACCAATAAATGCGATAATTAGAACGTTTATCGATTTAACGAAATATATATTTCATTAGAGCCATTTCGAAGAATAGAATAAGAAAAGAAAAAGTAGATTATTGTTTGTTTTGTTGACAAATGTGTTTTTCAATGGGTGCAACATTTGTATGTGTTTTGAATTATGAAGGGTTTGTAGCAATTTTTATTCGTTTTCAATTCGATTCAAATAGCATAGTTCCCATTAAAAATTATAAAAAAGCACAAGGTCATCCTTCACCTGCAAATATTGTGTGTGTGTTTAACCTGCACCATATAAATAATGTTTTCTTTTCCAGGTCGTTTTGAGAATAATTTCAAAACGAAGTCAACTCGTTAAAATCAAATGTCAACAAAAATAATGTAAATAAGTTGTATTCGATTGGACAGTTAGATTTAGACCTGTTGTAGACACCTTTCGCGGTATTTTTCTTCTCTTCTTCTTTTCCCTTCGCGGTTATAAGTCTTCTTAAAAATGAAAAATTCTTCGGCAATCACTCCGTCTCAGAACTATGCTGCAGTTTTTTTGGTTGAAAGAAACTCTTAACGTTCTGCTTTGATGCAACTAGTCGCATTCCTAGAGTCCTTCATCCAAATCCAAATAAAAAAATAAAATCCATTGATAATTTTATGATTGAAATGTTTTTCCTCTTTATTTCTTTTGCTATATTTTTACAAGTTCAAAGATCCTTATATTTTTTGCATTAAATTTGCTAAAACGATTTCAAGTATATAATCCTTATGTAAATAGTTTGAATGTGTATTATGATAAATATCTTTGAAAAAGAAACAAGTATTTGCACTGTGTAGCTTAAAAAATAAATCATCGAAAACGCATCGTATTCCCTATCATGTACACCTAATAATTTGATTTCTAAGTGTTGTTTTTTTTATTACTGTGAAATAGTAATTAGAAAGTATTGAAAATTGATTTGTTGTGCATGTTTATTTTCCATTGACTACGCGTTTTTTTTATATATTTGCGTTGTAAATGAATTTATGTAATTGTGTGTGTGAGAGAGAGAGAAAGAGAGATTTTTGTTTTGTTTTTCTCCTCTTATTAAATTAACACATACATATAACAGTCGATATGGTGCATATATTGGTATTCGAAATGTAATAGACGATTGAAAGTTGTTTCTCAATTTTAAGTACCTAATACCATTCAATAATAATTTAAACGTAAACGATATTAACTACTGATTCCATTTTCATCTTATTGTTGTTTAATTAATACTGTCACTTCTATTGCAATTCCACCTAGTTCGATTTAATTAATTATTCTACTTAAATATCAATTCTAAGATCATTAACACTGAAAAAAAAGAAGATCTAACTTGAAGAGATTGTTTCTTTTTCGTTCTCTTCCACGTTTCTTTTAAAAAATGATATATTTATGGAGAAAGAGAGAGAAAATAGCAACGTTTTGGAATGAAATGTTGAGCGTGTCAGTTTTTTAAATGTTTCATCAACGAATCGCGATCAATTTGACGATAAAAGAAATGGGTCCATCAAAAGCAAAAATTAACTCTGAGTGATGTAGCGTCTGTGATAACATTTTTTTTCTTACTCCAGCTTGTGTTTTTATTCAGGTGTTGAAAATCAATTGAGATAAATAATTAACGCGGTCAAATGGGTGGAAATTCGTATTATCGGAAAATGTTTGAACTAAAAACTATGTGCTTTGGATGTTTTCCATTTTATTTTTTTCGTCGATAGAAAATTTATTATTGAAAATTGTTTATTATTGAAAATAGTTGTTGATTGTTGTGAAGTTCTGGATTCACATGCTTTTGTGTGTGTGTGTGTACGTTGCAATAAAAAAAATGAAAAATTTAATTCTCACCACCGGCAACCGAGATCTTATTCGAAATCATCTCGTTGTTGTTATTGCTGCTGGTTGTTTTACTGCGTGGATTATAATTTGAATCGTTGTCCGATTCATCATCATGAACATTAATTTCTTCATCAGATTCATCGCTCATAACATGCGGTGAATGATTATATGGTCTGGTTAGACCTAATTGCGCTGATGCTGCTAACAGTGCGGCAGCTGAAGCTGAAGGTACAAGCGATCGAAATGCACTATGTTCGCCCCCCATTAATAATGGAGCTGATGCTGTGACTGATCCGGTTACATTTAGTTGATTTGTTGTGTGTTGATGCGATCCCTGATGTGGATTGTTGCTATTCATTTTAAAATGAAAAATTAAATGGCGTTAAAATGCTGCATTCAATATTAAGAAATAAAATTTCGATCGATATAAAACGTACAATATAAAAAAATGGAACATTTGCATACCTGGAGCATTTTGAAGTCGGCTGTTGCTGAGCTGATGGTGGTGTTTGTTGTGCATAAGCTTCCGTGCGCCTCTGTAGTTCGGGGGAAGTAGGGGTGTAACTTGAAGTGCTTCGTTGTGTTGGCGACGAACGTTGCTTGAGCATGTTCATACGCTGATGGCGTCTCCATTTTGCCCTTCTGTTGGAAAACCAAACCTAGTAGTCCATGTGAGATGTTAGTTTGAAAAGTAAGAAGACGTTCCATTTTAAGGAGTGTGAATGGTTTCATTTAACGTCTGTGGTCATTTCATTTATTTTCCCATTGTTTTTGCATCATTTTATAGTCCAAGGATTGTTTTTTTGAGGAGGATGAATGGTGAGGTGGAAAAGAGAAGGAGGAGAGCGCTGAGGAGGAAAATGTTTTTAACAAAAAAAAAAAAGATATTTTTGTGATAAAAATCGCTTTTTGCCCAAAAAAAAGGGTCCTACTCAGCGATTTTCTCCTCCTTTTTTTTCCACCTTGCCATTTCTCCTCCTCAGAAGAACAATCTCCGGTTTTAAACATAGATGAACAAAAACAAAAACGGTCGTTTTATATTGTTTGGTGTAAGTGTATTGTTTTGTGAATTCTATTCGTCATGTGTGTGTGTATGTTTTGTTCTTGTCATTTGTTTCTCAGTGCTCCTTAAAGGAATTCTTGTAAGATGCTTACCTGTACTCTAGCCTCACTTAATGAAGTCCTCGATGCCAAACGTTCTCTAGTGCTAACGCATGGATAGTGCGATTTATCAAATTCTTTTTCCAATTCCTCCAATTGCTCTGGACTAAATGTCGTTCGATTTCGTCGGAATTTCGGCTGCTCACCATCTAAACTGCCCGAATCTTCACCTTCAACATCTATTTTGTACGGAAAAAAATTATGCACTTTTTTAATAAATGAACGAAATCTCTGATCAAAACGAATTGTTAACTAGAATTGTACTCCTTACCAATCAGTCGATTTCCATCGGGTGATCCAAGAGTATCATGACTTCCAGATCCTGGTGAACATGCTGTACCCGAAGTTGTGGCCGATCCAGGTGAAATGCCCGGAAAACCGCTGCCAGCCGACCATAAGTGTGCTGCCGTCGCTGGCCATGGAAAACTGCTGTACGGTGTGGGAGGATAAAGACCATAGCCGGCGGCTCTTGCAAATTCAGCAGCTGCACGTTCGGCGGCTCGATTTCTGAGGATGCGATTTATTGAGGATACTGATGGTGCTGTTGCATTTGTACAAACCCCTACAAATCGAAATCGAAACAAAAACATTTATATTACAACAGCGAAACGAATGAAATTACGTCATTTTTTAGTATGCAAATTGAAGAGAAAAAAATCACATAAAAACTCTATGAAATCAAATAAACAATGCAATGAACGCAGTTAGTTTCATTTCATTTATTAGAAGCGCATTTTCTATCAATTATAATCGAGTACATGTGAAAAACATTAATCGGTTCGTTGTTTTGCCTCATAGACTAATTTGCATTTAATTTGAATTTAAGGTATGCGCGATTGAAAAGACAATTTTGTATTCATATGTGTGTGTGTGTTTCGTTAAATCTTCAAAAGATACGAATCAAAATGTGGCCAATTACAAGCGATATGGTTGTGCTTTTGTGTTTTCTCTCGCTCGGTTTATTGAATGGATTGCAACTTCAAGTTTCATTCATTTTCTCAATGAGAATTTTAAAAAGAAGGATGCGAAAGAAGAGAAACGAACGTTTAGATCGCGAATTTCTGTGAATGGGCTTGACATTTGTTTATACTTTTTTTGTTGCATTTTCATTCTTATCTTGGTTCATTCGTAGAGGTCATCCGAATATACACACAGTCACAGAGCCTGAACCAAATTGAACGAACACATAAAAACAACAACAATAAAAGATCAGAAAATAAAATGCAAGTATATCGATTGAAGCGCAAGCGTGAGTGCGCGCGGGAAAAAAATACACAAAGCTTTTTTCTACAAATTACTTTAAAACAGAACATAGCGTAGCACAGGAGAGAAAAAAACACGCTTTACGATGAACAAGAGAGTGAACGCAAGTATTTGTATGTGCCCATTTGAATTTGGCAGCTTGGCTGCAAAAAAAACTGCGCGCTTTTTTTATATTCATTAGCCATTGTTGGCAAATGTGTTTATATGTACATTAGTATGCAAAGCTTGAGAAGTCGGATGGAAATCGCTGATGTTGATAATGAAAATGCATTTATTAGGCCAGTTAAAATCTTGTGATCTTGCCCTCCGAGCCTCCGACTCACATGCGGCTGTCAACGAACGAGTTTTTTGTTGTTGTTTTCGGGCGATGTGCACAATTAAACAAAGCAAGCAAAGCAAATGTTTTAGCGAAGCAATGAAGCAAGCACAAGCGATGAGGGGACAGAATACACAAATTAAATTATTTGCGGATGCATAGAGATTGATATATATTACAATAAACGTTAAACAAGTTGACTGATTGATTGATTTATGTAATGTGTATAGTATTGTGATTGGTAAAGCTCTATGTTTGTTGTCGTCGTCGTCGTTCTTTTTGTCGACTTCAATCTCGCTCTTTCGAACTCTGCGCTTGTGTGTGTGCATTCAATCATTCGGCTTCTTATACAATCATTGCTATAGACGATTCTTCTTTTCCAGCCGTTTAAAAGCGGTTGAGTAAATAGTTGTTGTTTTTCTTCTGCGTTTTTGTCATTTTTATTCATTCAGGTTGGCATGCACTAAAATTCAAACGAATTGATCAACGAAGTACATAATTCTTGACGTATATTTATATGTATCTCGTTTTATTGTTATTTTAGGTTTTCATTTGCATGCGCGCAACTCAATTTCATTCACGACTTCTTTTTTTTCTTCTCTCGAATGTGTTTGTTTTGTTTGTAAGGAATAACGGCGTATGCGAGTGCCGCGAGTTTCGATTCAATTTCTACTCACAATCGTCTCGTTCTTGCTTCTATGCACAAAAACCAACACACTAACTCTCTCTTTCTCTCCTTCTAGCTCTCTCTTCCTCTCTCTCGTTTTTCTCTCTCTCTCTATGTATGTACATATATAAAAACGTATGAAATGCGATGCGATTTGATTTCGCGACAAATCGTATGCAAAACTATGCACGGATCGCTGTAGGTATTAGATGTTCATATTAGCGATGTTTTAATGGTGTACACTGTGCGAGAGCATTTTATCAATATATTAATATCTTTTAACAATTTTTTTTTCTTCTTCTTGCTCCTCTGTTTCATTTCAAACTTTGTGTGCATGGTCGTTTCGATTCTTTTATTATTGTATTTGGTCTGATGCTGTTTTTGTGCATACTTCATTCGTTCTTTTTACATTATCCGCGACGGTGAGCTTGTCGTCGCCGTAGTTTGCAGACTCTGTGAATGGTTTTCCCATTGATTTCATTTACATGCGCGTTTTGCATTCAGTTCTCTTTTTTTCGTGTTTTCGTCGCTTTGTTGTACACTCACAGATGTAAATGTATCAAAACAGTTTGTCTTCATTTATGGTTGCTCGTTACAAGTTTATTACTCGTAATAATTTTGTTTTTTTTTTTTCGTTCAACAAAATATTGGCGTCAAACAATACCAAAATGAATAAAAAAAAAATCTTTCGTTCAATGTGACGTATTTTTTATATCTGCTCTGTCTCCCCCAAATTTTTTCGAATCAGTTTTTTTTTATCTAATTAATTTTTTTTTTTGCCTTTTTTGTATAATTTTTATGCGTTGCGTATATTTCAAAACGGTATGGTTTTTCTATTTGTAAATTTTCCGAATACGTATCTAATTGATCATATTGACTAAATATAGACAATGTTTAATTGTCTCAAATCGAGTGAATGGTTTCAAAACATATGTGACTTGAGCGAATTTTCGAGATAAATGAAAAGAAAAAATGTTTGTTTGTAAAATGTCTTACCTTCAGAAATGAGCCGTTCTCGGATTTCCCACGCAAATATCGTTGGATTCTCCCGTTTATACTGTTCAATTTTCGATACAACGGCCGGCGTTGCAACTTTTGGTTTAGAACCACCAATCAAACCGGGTGGACGAAGCGTACCTGTAATACGAAAAAAAAAACGAAACCAGTCAGTAATTGTATAATATGGATGTGTGTGTTTTTTTTTCATTTTGGGTTTGCGTAACAGCAAAAGAACATAAATCCAATGAAAATGAAGTCACCGGTTTTAAGTGATTGAGACGGTGTGAACAGCATGGTGTAAATAAACTGGCAAAAATTGCATTCATACATGTATATTTTGAGTGCATTTGTCCAACGGGCCAAATAAATTGGTACACGAGATCAGAGTGGAAGAAGCAGATGAAAAAAAACAAACACAATATCAATGAACTGGTTATGGTTGCATTTAGTTCATGTGTATTGAGTTAAGCATATTGAAATGTGTTTTTACAACAACAAAAAGCGAATTCATATTGGCTTAATGGTGGATGGTTTTGTGGTCATGTCAAAGACACATGATTAATCGTACACAGTAAATAAAAACCGAAAATAATCAAAAAATCGTAAAACCGAAAATATCAATATACATTGACAGCACACCAAATGATTTCAATTTTTTTGGCTTTTCAGACACTAATAATCGAACGACAATTTGCTCGATGTGATTTCGATGTTTTTACGAAATCTAATGTGAGTTGCTGTAAAAAATTCGGTTGTCTGTGCATTGAAGAAGCGAAGCAAAAAAAATGCAACAAAAATATAAACGATGTGTTGGCTCGCAAAGAATGCAATCAAAAACAGTTGAGTGTATAATTACAATGCGGTTTTTCCAAGGCAGAGATAAATAGAGGAAACGAGCAGACAGAGATTCTTGGTCGCAACGTATAGGTACATAATGGCATTACTGGCAAGTAAACACGCACCAATTCAACGAAATTAAGAGGACTTTGAGTTTGTGTGATAAACGGAGTGCCAATGACGTGATAACGAACGAAAAGAAAACCCTAGTCGGTATGAGAGATGATGAAATAAGGAGATGAGAGAGAGAGAGAGAACAGACAAAAACACTCATACAAAGCAACAGTATGAACAAAAGGGCGAAAAAAAGGCAGCCAGATAAAGTGAAAATATTCAAGTGTGTGCTAAATAAATGCAATTGAAGAGCGAAAACACGCAGACTTCACACCATATTGATTTGATATCGCATTCGCTGGTCGAAATAACAACACGGACTTTATAACAAATCTGTTTTGGTGTTGAAAACATTCATTTGGAATTTGTCCCAAGAACAGCAAAACTATAGAAACACGCACATTTCGCGGCTCTCTTGCTCTCTCCCTCTCTCTTTTATTCTCTCTCTCTGGTTTTTTGTTTGCGCTTTTCTTTGGTGCGGCTATTGTCGAAGTGCGCCGGTTTATAATTCATTGCCACTATAATTCCGCTGCTGTGGCTGTTGCTTGCTATTTCGTTCCGTTGTTGTCATTAAGTTTGCATTTGATTTAGAATCTTACAAAAGCACACGCAATTACAGTCTTCAGAGGATATATGTTCAAATTGTCTGCCTTTTCTCTCGTTTCGATTCAATCGAGAGAGAAAAAAAGTTAATTTTCTGCCACACCAGCTTGGTCAACAATTTCCAAACAATATCGATGACAATGAACATAAATACATATAAATGCCAGCCACAATACTTTTTTCTTTTTTTGATTTGATTATTAATAATACTTTATTGGCTGGAAAAAGAGTCTTCCTTCCTTTATTGTGGAAAGAGTCTTCCACAAAATAATACATTTGCGTAGCCAGATCACATGTGAAATCATGGCAAATTCCACAATAAAATAAATGGCAATTGGTGGCTAGATGACAGAAATATGATCCAAGTTTTCTTAAATCTTAATCCGGTGCATTCTTGGCGTTTATCGGCCGTGATAGGCATGACGATTCGACCCAACACAAACATCCACACCATGATCATTGTTCTGGTTGACAAAATCCAACGTCTTCGGGACTATTTTTTTTCTCTTCTGTGAGTGCGATTTAATCGAAAATTATATAAATTGAAATTGCAATCAATAAATTGCTGCTGTGAAAATTCTGTATTCTGCCGAGAATGTATTCGCACACGGTTTCTCATCGTTCCATCACCGCCGTTGCCGCTGAGTCAGCAATTACATAAATCGTATCATTATTTTTGTTTCGCTTTTTGATTTAAGCGCGAGGATGTCTTTCGATGCATAAAATGTTTCGATTACTATTTAAATGTAATTTTTATATTGGTGAAAAATTGCGTTTCTCTCTTTCTCGGCCAGCTTGTTTCTTTTAATTTGCGAAAAATTGGTGAACTGTGCAGTGTGGCACACAGCTGTACACAGGCGGCCAAACTTATAATTGAAAAAAAGCACCGCGTTAAACATAAATTAATGAAAACCGCCTCTTCTCAACATAACGCCCATCGTTTACATTAGTTGGGTTCTTTATTTATTTTTTTTCGTTCTTTTTCAATTTTTTCGAGCATTTGTTATAGTCGGTGATCGTGATAATGCCCCGAAACCGATGATGATATTTCTACCTCACCGACGACGTTGTGTGCGCTCAGTTTGTTTTACATCGACATAATATACTCACTCATTAATATTTGTATATATATGTGTGTGTTTGTTTTTTAATTTGTTTTAAAACGAGAGAGATTGGGTTTTTTCTATGACTATGCGAGTTCGATTGGTGTGAAAAGTGTACTGAATGGGGCGGCTGTGGTCACATTGGAGCCAATTCCAACTGCAATTGCACTCGAAAAGAAACAAAAAACGAAATCGAAATACTCTTTTTCGTTTTTTTCTCTCTATCTCAATTGTTTTCTGGTCTGGAAATTGCCTCGCATGCATTCATACGACCGAAAAGATTGGAATTTATGTAGTTCAAAAGCATAAAGTGTTCTTCGGAAAAGAAAGGTACAATAGTAATAATAAGAAAGAATATTAATGAACGGGAAAACATTATTTTTATTATTTGAAAAAGAATTTACGTAGGCTGCTCCATATATTTCTAGAAAAGCATATACAACGCAATCGTTTTTTATCAAAAATGGCTTTATTGTTTTTCAAAGTATTCGCCATGATGGTCGATACACTTTTGCATACGCTCGAACCACTTGCCGTAGCATTCATGCCACTCCGAAACCGATATCTCCAAAACGTGTGTTTTGAACGCATCAACTGCTTCTTCTGGCGTCGAAAATCGTTGACCACGCAGTTTTTTCTTTACGCTCGGAAACAAAAAGAAATCGTTGGGTGCTAAATCAGGACTGTAGGGTGGATGACCCATTAATTCGTTCTTTTGAGCGGTCAAATATTCAGTTGTGTGATGAGATGTGTGAGAGCTCGCATTATCATGATGAAGAATTATTCTGTGACGGTGGTTATTTTTTCTTAATTCACCAAACACTTCTGGCAAACAAATGGTGGTGTACCAGTCAGAATTGACTGTTCTACGATCCTCCAGTGGAACAATTGCCACATGTTCACTAATTGCGAAAAAACAGGCGACCATTTGCTTCGCAACACTTCGAGCGCGAACAACTTTCGTTGGATTATCTTCACTTTGGAAGACCCATACTGTCGACTGCTGTTTAGTTTCGGGCTCATACGCGTAGATCCATGATTCGTCGCCTGTGACGATGTTATGGACGGAATATGATGCACCGCGGTTATATTTGTTGAGCATTTCTTTGCACCAATTCACACGAGCTGATTTTTGGTCATCGGTCAATTTATGTGGAATCCAACGAGAGCAAATCTTTTTTACAGCCAAATGTTCATGCAAAGTCGTGTGTATGCTTCTCATACTAATGCCCAAGGATGCCTCAATCTCACGGTATGTGACATGACGATCTTGCTTTATCATGTTTCTGACAGCATCGATAGTTTCTGGAACAACAACCGATTTTGGACGACCTTCACGGAATTCGTCGATGAGCGAATGACGACCACGATTGAATTCAGTAAACCAGTGATATAGAGTGGCCTTGCATGGAGCTTCATCGCCAAAGACCAAATGAAGTTGATCAAAACACTGTTGTTGAGATACACCCAATCCAAAGTCGTAGTAAATTATCGCACAAAAATTTTCACGAGTAAAATTCATTTTTTTGTTGAGACGCAATTTAGATGTCACTGTAAACAATACAAATAGCGCGCGTATGACAGAACGTTCTGAGATCGTTTATGCTACCAAATGTTAAACTTAACGAATATGACAATGGTTTGTATCGGACAACACTAAATATTGCCAATTCTAGAAATATATGGAGCAGCCCTCGTAAAAAAAATGGAGACAACTTAAATAATAATACAGATTTTGCACTGTGGTGCATACTATGTTAGCATTTTGTTTTTATCTCAAACGATGAGAAAGTTTTGCCGTCGGTCGTGCCAGAAAAACGTTAAATTAATCAATCGCCGTTTTGTTTACTTTCAACACTTTTCGAGGACAATTTTTGAAAAATGAACAATAATTTATGTTTAATTTCAGTTCTAGATACATACAGACATAGAAACCATTTAAATATAAATGCTGTTTAACGCAATTGATTTCGTTGATTTGAAAATATTCATCTCATTATGTGTCGATATATGTGAAAAACAATAAGATCCTCAAAAACATCGAAGCTTATTCTAATGGAATCGACTAATCATCGGTAAAAATGAAATGAATAAAACATTTAACAATCTCGTTTGATGTCTTTATCGAAGAAGAAGAAGTGGAACAGAGGCATAATCAACAAAAATTGAGTTCAAAACGGTTATATTCAAATCAGTATGATTATGCAAAGTCAGTAGCATCAGAGAATCGAATCGAAATTCAAGATAATACAATAAACAATGTGATTAATGTCGAAAATATTGATGACAAATCGAAAAAAAAAAAAAAAGAAAATTAAAGTCTTTGACATTTCAGACGTAAATCAAAGTGACCACAATGTTGTTTCGGACAGTTATTCCAATTTAATTCAACAATTATATAAAATTGCGAAAATTGTTCGTCGACAAATTGTTTGATTCTTGATAATTTCATGTCAAATATGACATTCGAAATTGACATTCGAAGACCAAATGATAAGTGAAACTAAATAACAAACCGAAACTAGTTGATTTGAGACGAAGATAATATGCAGAAGAAGAAGAATTTAAAAAAAATGTGGTCGTTGTCTTTTGTCGTTCAAACGATGAAAATTAGCCCATAATGTCTATTATTATTAATAACATTTAATTTGAATCGCTATGTCATCATTCGACATGTCTGTACGATAGTAAAAACCAACGGTGGTAGTGGTTTTTTTTCGCTCTTTCTTAATTTTACCTTTTTTGGCTATTTAAACCGTCAATTTTCCAATTAATGATACACTTTTCGGTCGAGTAATGAAAGAAAACAGACGAATTTGATGGAGAATCCGGCAAAGACATGGAGTGTAACGAAACGTTTACCATTGCATTTGATGTGAGCGGGCTATTGAATATGCATTCCCAAATAAATTTACAATTATATACATCATAACAAAAAAAAACGAATGAAATAACAACAACGAAAAGAAAAAAATCAATATCTATCCGTTCAAATGATGAAATGGGAAACAACGGTGAACCAATTTCGGGTATTCAATTTAATTATAATTTCACTTGGTGGTTTTACCGCTCATTTTTGTGGAAGAATACACACGGTTCGAAATCAATATACGAAATTGGTTGGCAATCACATAGACAGAAAGACGAAAAAAACGAAAGTGATTGTTCCTTTGAAAGACAATCGGCTTGAAGAAAGGATAAAAGACAACAATAACAGCAACAAAAAATTATTATTAAATATAACCGATTATTATATAGCATTCAGTTAAATATTTTTTTGGTAATTATTGGCTCTCGAAAGAAATAGAAGACAATAGCAGAAAGCAACAACAAGAAAAAAACATCGTCAAGTGTCACCGAATGAATTTTGAAGTGGAGCGATTCGAAGCACGAAATAACCGTTTGTTGTCATTGTGCCATTCCATCACGGAAGAAATGTGCTCTCCGTGTCTATATATTCCGTTCATCGTGTCCATTGCACATTCAACTTCAGCCAATTCGATTCGCTGCACCTTCATTACGCTGTCACAACAAAGTATTTATTAACTTCTAAATAATAGTCGAAAACAATTCCCTTTCATTCTATGGTTCAAAACGACAAAACCGACGATGACACACACACCGAATGCATGATAGCGAATGGCAAAAACTAGCAGCAATGTAACACCAACACCGCCCCAAAAATTACTTTAAGTGTTGAAAAACATCTGTTTCATTGGATTTTTTTTCTTCTCATTATTATTATTCAATTGGCAATTATTATTGTGAAAAGTGTTCAATATTCGATTTCGAAGCCATGAATGAAAACACCACAGACTATTTTATTTGTCTGTTTTTGTTTTCCACAGAAAAAAATTTATACAAATCATATGCTGTGTGGTTCACATTTATTTTTTTTTTTCTTTCAATTGGAATTGATGGCTTTATAACAAAAAAAAAACAACAACAAAATGCCGTTAGTTACACGCTATGCTATAACTGTTACCGTTTCAATTATTACGTTCCAATTCAATTGACACTTACCTAGCAATTTGGAAACAGCTCCTTGTTGTGTGAGCATATGTTGGGCCAAGTCATAACCTCGCAAACCGAATCGTGACAATTCAAGTAACCGATGCTGAGATACGAGAGCGCTTAACGTTGACGGTGATGCACCACCACTGAACACAGATGCTGGCGATACGGAAGCGGTTGCTGCACCGGGTACATTTTGACTTAAACTAACTGCTGAAAATGGAGTAGAAAAACAAAACATTAATATTTTCGATTTAAAAAAAAATCAGACGAATTTTTGAAAATAGGGTAACAACTGTATTTTGTGCTATGTATCATATTTTTTTTATTTTATAAAATTGATGAGGTTCATGGGGATTACGAAATTCTTGGGGATGGACCCTGGATTCTTTCTTTGGTATTTTTCGAGAGATTTTATAGAGATTTTTGAGTAAAAAAAAAACCTCTTTTTGCTAGAGTTTTTACCGAGAGAACCCTTTCTACACTAGATAAAACTGACTCCTGCGAAGATTTTGCCACGGCATTTCGTCATCAACCCCATCCCCTCAGCACCCATGTTGCTTTGAGCTCTGAATTTCCACAAACTCACTACATTCCATGTGATCAAGGGAAAAAAGGTTGTAAAACTATATTTTTTTCAAGCGCGATCAACAACAAGTGATCACAGAAGCCACACACGCACACACACACACACACACACACACACACACACACACACACACACAC